TAAGGGCTGCGCTGAAAGTGTATCAAAGCAAAACAGCTGAGAGAAACGGGGGAACAAATCCCATCTGCTAATGGCCACACTCACAGCTCGGAAGGGCTTGGGAACATGCTGCTTTACGGAGCGTGGCGCTGAGGGCAGAACTCAACTAGCACGCCGGAAAAGTAATCCTATGATTAAAAAGAAACAACTGAAAAATGAAGTAGTATTACAACGCATGTCATTTCACGGATGTACTCAAAAAGAAGTATCCGCCTAAAAAATAACACGCTAAAGAAATTAAGTCAAATAATTAGCAAGGAATCTTGGCACATGAATTTGGCGAGATGCTGCAGTCAATCTCCTTCTGTGTTGGTTGTCATTAAATGTTACCACGAAGGTATAAGAATACAAGAAATGTATCAACAGCAGAACTATAGAAATTTAGCTTAGCAGAAAATTGTTCCTATGCAACCGAATAATTAAGTTTCACTTAAGTCACTCAGCCTGCTACCGCCGTCTGCATCCCCTTTTGTCTACTTCTTGTTAAATTCCTATTCAGCCATCACTCAGCGCTGAGATGATAGGATTGTACAATAAACAAAATAATTAGTTTCCAAACTCATAATAGGCTGTAACATATTTCCCGGAATATGTTTTTTTTATAACTGCATTTTGCATCCTCTCACGACTGAGAACTCAGCTCACATGTATAGGAGAATTTGAAGAATTTTGCCATGAATCCAACAGATGAAGATAAATCCACGCACATTTAGGAGAGCTAAGTGAACAAATCCTGATGCACATACCAGAATGTCTGCACCAGCCAAGCCAGCCCACACGTACTGACATGCGTCACAGACAAAGTACGTAAGGATGGAGCACAGTCCCCTTCAGACTTCTCAGACAAGGACCACTACCGAAATGGGGTAACTCCCTTCGCCAGGGCAGCACCGACAGCCAAGGCAGCGCAGGGCAGACTGGCACCCTCTGTTCCACACCAGCGCTGGCATATACTGGGAGCACTGAAAACGAGACATACATCAGCCGAGGCCTTTACAAGGATCTCATCAAAACAGCACAATCTCTTTAGTCTTAAATTACAAGCGGACCCTAGGAGCAAGGGATGCTCACAGGACTAACCTTACGTGACCGAGCAGATTAAAACACCTGCAGAAAGTCAATTCCTTTTCTTTTTCCCGCTGTAAGACTCGAAACCCTTATGAAATTTGAAGTCACTGTTGAATTTTCCAAAGGTGATGAAGAGGTGAACTCACAACTCACCTCCAAGCACAGGCGAACCGCATGCTAAACCACAGGGAGGATGAGCATGGGAGGGCATGTCCTGGTGAGGAGGGTCCTGTGCGGTACACGGGTGGGCACTGGCGCAAGCAAACCGGCTGCACACTTACCTCTGCCTTTCAGCGCAAGCTAGAATATCAGACGGCACAGAGGAAAGCAGCTTAAGAAACTGGCACCATCAGTCTGCAAGGGCTCACCGCTACACGCAACCCGTTGGCAGTAGGTAGGAAGCGGCTGATACGCACTCGGGGCGGCGATTTCCCAAGCCTGGGTCTCTACTGGCTGAGCTGAGAGGGGCTCTGTCAGCTTAGTCGGTAGAGAGAGCTGCCCTGAGTGAGTAGTGGTCCCCGTGCCGCCCGGTGTGACGGGGTGCAAGGTTCTGCACCTGAGGCACCTGCGCCACCCCGTCCTCTCTGCCACCCCCCAGCCATCACCTCCTTTAAGGGAAAAGGGAAGAAACAACCGTTTTGAAGTGACTCCTCTGAAATGCTTTACAAATGAAGCCGTGTCCATGTAAACAATTAACCGGAGAGGTGGGATGACATAATGAGGCCAACTCAGGCTTCTGGTGGAAGGATGGAGAGGAAGAGGCTAGCGAGACTGTCAGGGCTGTAGCGCCCGGGGGGCTCAGCCACAGCTTGGTGTCAGCAGCCGCTGATGGGGGTGTGCTGCCGGGAAGGCATCTGCCTGTCTGCCGCAGCGCCGCGGCATCGCAGCCGGCAGCATTCGGTGCCTACAACGCGCTACCTCAAACGAAAAGCCACTTCATCACAAAAAAGCCCTTTGATTTACGGTATCTCTAGAAACAACCCCCTACCCCTATCCGCCTGCCCTAGCTTAGCCTTCTGCGGGATGTTCTCCCCCAGGGAGGAGCTCGCCGACCCGCGTTCTGCCGGCTGAGCCGTGCCCCCAGAGCCGACGTCTGCAGCTCCAACAAACAAGTAGTCTTTCATCACAGCGGGCTACGACAAACTGCAGAAAGACAGCGCTTTGTGATTTACGGATTAAACCAGCAAAACACGTGTCACCGTGTTTGCTCCCCTTCCCTCTTCACTGGGGGCTGATCCACTCTTTAACATTCACTGACCAGGGCCAATTGCTAACGGACGGTATTGCTCCTTGTGAAAGGCCTTTCTGCACAAGCAAAAGTAGAAGGACGGCCCTGCCCTAATTATGACCACTAAAAAATCCTTTCTAGCTTCCTTAGGGCTGAAAGCACTGGCTGGTTGGGTTTAATTCAATGAACTCGAAGCAACAAAGTTCGCTGAAGCTGATCTGTACAAAGAATTTTCGTTCATGGAGGTGGCACTGGACAATGCGGTGCTGGATCCCAGGAGAATATTAAACATTTTATATACTGGAAAGTGCAACATTATATAAAAACATTGCACGACAGATGGGCAGCAGAGCTGAAAAGCATAAAAACGCTCCCGCTTGTCTCGCTGCTGAGCAGTGCAGACCTCCGGTTACAGAACAGACCTGAATTCGAGAGCTTTTCCTTCCTTTATTATTACACAGTGGCTTTTGCTACCACCAGAGATGAGTAGCTGAGTAATTTCCTACGTAGTCAACTGTAAGCAACTCTTACTAATAGAATGCAGCAGTAATTTGCAGTAATTGTCCAAAACTGTGGTTTACTGAAAATACTGTTATTATTGATTTTGGACCAAAGCTGAAGCATTTTTATAAGAGAGATTAGGAGTTATTGTTCCTTAAGGAACTGGTTTTACTAGCTGTTGGAGAGTGTCACTATGAAAATTAATCTCAGTACTTTTCAATATAACAATGTATTTTAAATTCATTTTCTTGGTAATTCCTGTGACCAATAATATCCAGCCTACTCTAGCTACAGCTTCTCCTCACCAGGTTAAAGACTGCAGAACTGCCAGTTTTACAGGGCAAGGCTGGCAACATGAAAGCACACTAGTCAACTTCTGCAGTACACGAGCTCATTAAAGCAACTTTGGGAGCCTCGCTACCGTACAGGCTGCCTGAAAGGCTGGGGGAAGCCTCAGCTCGGCAGAAGGCATGGCCAGCTTTGCCATTGCTGTCACTGGAGCCAGGATCTGAATCCACATCTGCTTCAAAAGCACCGCAAACACAGAATACTGCTGCACAGGTGTGTGCAGAAGACCGGCCAGTGGTGTACAGAAGGTCACATTTGAGTATTATAGGCAAAACTCCCAAAACTTCTTAAGGTTCATTTCCATTTTAGTGCATTAATATACTTCCCCGTTGCAAGTAACCTCTCTCATGTTTCAGCTTTGCAAGCAAGCTCAAGCTGCTTACACACTGCTGCTACTGCTATTATTTTACCATTAATGGGTAACTACCATCTCTGCTTAACATTACGTCTTTGCTATGATCGTGGCTTGACC